GTGTGTGTGCGTGCGTGCGTGCGTGTGCGTGTGTCTGTGTGTGCGTATTATGCTACATATATGTCTATACATAATAATATGAAAAATAATATAAAATAATAAAAAAAAATATATATATATGTATATCTTTATATATAAAATATTACGCGAAAGAAATTTCACATTTGCGAGTTATATATCGTCTATATGAACTTAAATCATAAATTTTTAAATAAAAATAAAAACTAACACAACTGCCTCTGTCGGCCGCTTCTATGGCTTGTAATTCCGCTACGAGATGATCCATTTGTTTCTTCTTCGCTTGTAATTGCATCAGCTTGCCTCTCAGTGCCGCCGTTTCTGACTCGATGTGCTCGACGTTAGCAGGACTCGGCAGAGACGCGCGATTATCTTCCCACGTAGCGGAGTTCGGTGTATTCTGATTATCTTGTTGCAGAAGCATTTGCTGTGCTTGACGCGCCTTGTTCAATCTTTCTCTAACGCACAACTGTAAGTCCGTCAAGTTGGCTTGCTGCTCTTGCAACTGTGCGAGTTTGTTCTGATATTCTTCCATATTCCTTCGTAGTTGCATCTCTCTACCGGCATCGCCACGTTCATCTACATCCTCCCTTCCACTTTCACCATTCTGTGTGTGAAAATAAAATAAAATATTTAGTTTCACAAAATCAATCAATGTCACAATCAATTTTTTTTTGTAATTTTATAGCTGAACTAGAGAGTGTATACATTATTCATTGTACTTAAAAAGAAATATATATTTGACGAAAGCATTAGAGAAAGTTTTAATATACCCCAGGGGTGCCATTTATAAATATAGTGGTGTTGGAGGTGGGGCAAAAGTCTGAAGAATAGGATGAGCAATTGTGAATAATGGTTACTTTAAACATTGCAATTCGATACGCACAACTTTTGAAACAAAATAGTGGAATGCCGGTTTCGGCTCACTGAAAATCAGATAGAAGAAAAACTGCACAAAGAACAAATACGTACATTTTCTATTCATGTACATAGTTCTTCCTTGTATACAATTCTCTGTCTACCTGATCTTCAGTAAACCGAGATCTTATTTTGGCACTTGTGAAACAATCCATTTTGCTTTTATAAAATTTCATTCTGGCACATTCTGGCTGGGCTACATTAAAATTTTCTATCTTAATATAGCAACAAAAGACAGACCTAATGTTTTGATAAAATATTAAACAAATAAATTAATAATGGATTCTCTATAATGTCCAAAATAAATAAGAGAGTAAAATTAATTTTTATATAACTTGTCAAACCTATATCAAAATGTATCATTATCATTAATATATAAAAATATATATAAAACATCAAAAAATCTAAATTCCAGATGTTTCGATTCCTTTTTGAACCATTTTCAATGGTTATATAATTAATAAAAGATAGAAATTTACATATTTAACAATAATTAATAAAAAACATCGACAACAAGTCAAGTCGACGTCTGGACAAGATTTTTTTGTTTTTTATTATTAATTATTATTAATTTTAGCATAGCTAAATACTATATTTGACTCTCATTTGCCCTCATTAATTTTTTGTTTGTAAAATATTAAAGACTAATAACCTCGTCAGAAACCCCATGATTAGGATACTGCTCCAATAATTTGGAAAGCTTCGTTTCACTGTCGTGAAGATCCTCCACCATTCTACTTAATTTCTCACTTTGAGCTTGTGCGCGCTATAAAATATTTATAATTATAATTACAATATCAAAAGATAATTTAAACAAAATTATCTATATACAATATAAATTATTGAATATTAATGTTATGGATAACATTCATGCAGAAATATTACTTACAGGATCAGAAGATTGACTAAGAGAATCTATCATCGTGGCAGTGACTCTAATATAATCTCTGATTTGATTTAAACGACCTTCCACCTGGCTCTTATCAGGCTTGAAAAATAAAATAACATTATAATTATAAAAAGAATGATAAAATCATAATTAAATAATATAAAAAAAACTATCGTTTAAAATAAAAATATTAAGTATATTAATATTAATATTTTTATAAATATAAAAAAATACCATTTTATTCACATTCGAAGGCTTTGTTCCCTGTAATCGTGACGGTGATTGACTTCTCTGAGGCTCAGTAAATGGTACCATTTTTAGCCAAGATGTACAATCTTCTGTACTATAATTACACTGTCTTGTCGAATTGTGCAATGCTGCAACGGCAAGTAAAATTACAAATTATGTTTATTAGCAGCAAAAGAGGCAGAGTTAAATATATACACTCACCAAAGTCAGGTAAGTCTTGGTACGTAGTGAAATATGAAGAAGGAAGTTGAAAGGAAGCTGATCGCGTATTGCTATTCTTTGCTTCTCTTGGTATTCTTGATTCACGTTCGCACTCACTCGCTACTTGCCAATCCAGTTGAAACTAATGTATAAATCTTTTTTAGTTAGAGTTAAACTATTGCAAATATGAAATGAAGATAAACTCATGGATATGAAACAATGCTCGCAGCTCTACTGCGGATTCACCTCTGTCGATATGTATTCTTAGAGTAAGAAACGCCCCACTACTCTATAGCCTATTAATAGATTGAATTCACACTGCCGAGAACAGCTTATAGCATATCTCCATCAGAGTAGGTTTCGGATGTCCTCTCTCGCTTTTTATGTAGAATTCAATCTATTTGCAATTTCCTACCTTCCTTAACCTCTATATTACTATATTATTATTAACTTATCTTTATTTATATACAACTTGATAAAAATTAAACTAGCTAAGAATTAAACTCTATAAATTATATGAAGCAATAACTAATATATTTAAAAAAACAATTAATACACTTAATGACAATCCTCTTTCTTTGAGAAGCGAAAATAATTAAAAGTGCAAATAAAATAATGAATATATATCGCATCATTTTTTTCTCTATGATCTCTTCGGTAACTCAATAATACAGCAGGAAAGATGAAATAAAAAGCGAAGTGAATTCTTGGAGGATTTACCAAATTGTTAAAATGATGCGGATGGCCCTGATAACCCGAGCGATTTGCAAGCTGTTGATTAACGGCAGACCGCTCCCGGTTTCTGTCGTTTCTTCGATTGCTCTTCGGCAGAGTTCCCGTGTTGCGGGGGCCTCCGCCGTTGCCGTTGACACCGGGTGACATCGCTGTGCGCTTTCCACGTTCGCTGTCGAGAGTGCGAAGCTACGACAGCGACGGACGCGCGCTAACCTCACCGCACAGCTGATACCGTCTGCTGTGTGATGCGTCTTCGATTACCTGGGGAGGGGGACGAGGAGAGGAATTCGGACTCGACGGAGAAGACGCGGATCCTCGACAGGGAATGACGACACGGGAAGATCAGAGATGCAACAAGGACACACCGACAGTTCCGTTTCGGTATCGCGCGTCCAGTCGCGTCTTACGTCAAAATACTTGGCAGCTGAAGGTATCGTATATTATAAATAGGATGCGCGTGCATCAATGCGCGATTCACCGCGACCGCGTATCTCCAACGATTCCCTAACGCACCAACACTGCGGCCATTTTTAAATATCCCTCGTTACCTGCGTCGCACCTATAGGGTGACTTCGATCAAACGTCAGTTAACTTGGTTAATGATTAACGCTCATTTCTACCAATGTAAATTAACTTTGACCTCTCT